CGATCTTGTCCAGCTCCTTGCGTCGCAGGAACTTGTTGAGTCGATCGAACGAAATCTTGGCCTCCGACCAGCGCGAGATCATATTCGGAAACTGCACTCGCACACACACAGCCCCGCGAGTTAGTTCGTGTGCGTCGTGTGTTGTGGCGGAATGCGCGGACTGCATACCTGGAGGATGATCCACGAGAGCGAAGCGAAGATGGAGAGCGAGGGGAAGATGAGGTGGGCCGTCAGCTCGTTGCCCAGCAGAACGTACACGCTGAACGTGCCCACCGAGATGAACGTGGACATCGACATCCTGTCCACCCCACATACACGCACCACACACACGCATCAGCTCTCGTGTGCGTCGTGTGCGTCGTGTGTGCGATGAGTGCGTACATGAGGAACATCATGCAGGCGTAGAGGTAGGAGAACTTCTTGAGCTGGGTGACTTCGTGCGCCCTCACTTCGTTGATCTGCTTCATCACCTGGTACTCCCAACAGAACAGCTTCACAATCAACACGCCCTATTGGTACGTCCAATGTCGCATGCAGCAGTGCGTGTGCGGTGGTGCGGTGGCGTTAGATGTATATCTAACATAACACCTCGCGGTGAGAAATCAGCTGATGAAGAATGTACGTGGAGAATCTCGGTGATTTTCTTGACCCGCTCGTCCTTGAGCTCCATGATTTTGGTATCCGCGGCGAGGAAGCCACTGATGTGATGTGATGAACACACACGACACACACACGACACACACACGACACAGTAAATCAGTGAGTGCGTGAGTGCGTGCGTGCGTGGTCGATCATGGATATGATCAGGTGGCGTGGCACGAGGAGGTACCGATAGATGAAATATTTGAGGGGCATGACGCCCACCGTGATGACCAGCGACGTGAACGCCGCTGGCCCCAGCCACCCGTAGAGCAAGTACACCGCTACTGCTCAGCACGCACGCACACGCGACACACACCGCACACACACACACACACACACACACACACACACACACACACACACACCACCGCACACGCAGCATGTTGTTAGGGGGAGTCAACATTGCCGAGAGGAGGGCAATAGCGAAGGTGAGGGACTCTTCACGCACGCGTCAGCTGCAGTGGATGCGCCCAGATTCGGTGCGCGAACCAGGCAAGGTTGGCCACCTTGGACGGATCCACGTTCATGACGTTGGCTGCGTTGCCTTTGGAAACGCGCTGGAGGCGCAGGCTCTTGCGGTAGATCAGCGTGGAGAGCATGGAAGACACCTGCCCGCGCGTGAACCCAAGAACATCACAATGTGACGCATCACGTGAGCGGAATTCCGACGCATACATGCGTGTCTGTGCGTGTGCGGTAGTGCGTGTGCGTGTGTCGTGCGGTGTGTGCGGTTCATACGTTCATGAGCACCCGCTGGGCGCGAAAATAGGTCATCTGCTGAAAGACCAGGTGCGTCACAGAGACGGCGAACACGAGGCCCACGTACAACAGGCCCTGCGACCAGCCAGCGCTCTTGAGCCGCATGGACGAACGTGCGGGTTCAGTGAAATGTATACAATATTCCCCACAACACGCACACACCGCACACACCGCACACACCGCACACACCGCACACATGAGACAGCACACGCACCTCGTCGCCTACGAACTGGATGATCCACGAATATATGACCGGCAGGGCCAGCTCGCATAAGTTGCCCACCAGCATCAACACACCCACCCATGAGTACTCGAGCCACACGATCGCCCAGATCGACCTGCGCGTCGTCGCAGCCGCCGCGTGAGTCACGCACAGCGCACGACACACACGAAACACACGAAACACGACACATGCGGCAAACACGGCACGCATCGGACCTGGCCAGTGCCCACCAGGACTCAGTGTGCTGCTTGCGCGCGTTCCATTCGCGCTTGAGCCGTTGGGCCAACCCGACGGGGTTGTCTCTCGGCGCAATATTGTAGAGATCAGTCAGCTCCAGCGGCCTCTGTGCGCCCACTGTGTGCGTGTGCGTGTGTGTGTGCGGTGGTATGTGTGCGTCACGGGATCGATAAGAGTCTCTCTCTACAAGCTGCCAATGCGAGGTGAGAGCACGTACGCTTGACGAGAGGCGTGAGCCAGGCGAAGACGAGCTGCGACACGAGCGACGCCTCGAGCTCGGGCAACGGCGGTGCCAGCAGCTGCACCTACAATTAAATTGTTTTAAAATGGAAATAAATAAATACAGAAAAGGGCGAAAGTGTAAAAAAAAAATAGATGCAGAAAAAGATGAGATGATGATAAATCCAAAGAGGGTTCTGCACCGAGACGGCAGACGACGTGGCCACCGCCGGCACCGGCAACTTTGACCTGTGCAGCATGCGCGGCGGGCTGCCCAGGTGCGTCTGCGTCGTGGCTCATCGTTGTGTGTGTGTGGCGTTTGAAAAAGAAACGCAAACTGGCGGCGCCAAGTAAGCTCCCCCAATCGGCGAAATGGAGATGGGAAAGCCAATCCTCGCCACTGAGGGATGACCGAAACAAGTGTGCAAAACGGGACTCCCCGGGCAGGGTTCGAACCTGCGACCTCACGGTTAACAGCCGTGCGCTCTACCAACTAAGCTACCGAGGATTGCCTACCATCTTGCCCCCGTATCGCAGAGGTGGAAACCTGCCTAACTGCACTGACCCAGGCAATGCACCTTCACATGTGTTGGTTCGGACACATATATCAGGCGAGGACCGTCAGAGTCTTGCCATGCGTCCAAAGAAAAATTGACATGGCCAAGGGCTGACTTCTTTATCAGGCATCGGGTGGCAGCCCCTGGTCCAGGTCGAGGGGCAGCTCCACGCTGCGGTGCTTGGCGAATGACGTCAGTGGGCGGTTGGGCACCAGGTACTCTCTCAAGCCTGTGCCAGAGGGCGCAATGAGATTTGTGTGTGTGCGTGTCGTGTGCGTGTCATGTGCGTGTTGTATGCGTGTGTCGTGTGTGCGCTTTTGGGCGTTTTGTGTGAAGACACGCACCGACTTGGCCGTCCTCGGTCCGGGTGAAGCCGTCGCCGTGGAAGAGTTGGGAGAGGCCGACCTCGTGGTAGAGGAATGCCCTCGTGTGTCCCAACGACCCGCTCGACTTCAGATATCTGTGCATGCGCGCGTGCGCGCGTGTGAGATCATGATGAAGGCCAGCGAAGGAAGACGTACCGCTCGAGGGTCATGAAGTGGTGATGGTCCCGGCCCTCTCGAAACGAAGCGTGAATGTCGAACTCGGTGAAGCGCGCCTGCACCTCCTCCAGCGTGTACTTGGGCAACAGCTGTTGAGGGAATATGTGCATTATAAAGTCATACACTATATTATACGAATATACACTATAGGTCAATCAGAAATCATAGAAGAGAGGCGCATACGTGGGCGTGGGGCTCCACGTGGGGCCAGGCCTCGGGGAATGCATCGCGGACGAGCTCAAGCACTCCGTCCCATGTGGCCTGCCTCGCTTGCACCTCGGGGAACAGGCACAGCCTGAACCGATAGCC